TTTTGGTAAAATAATTACAGGTATGCATTAAACATTTTTTTTTAATAATTTTTGTTTCATATTGTATATCTATATTTCCGTTCTCCCAGTTTTCCCATGTTTTTCCCGGTTTTTCCCATTTATCGGAAAAACTTTTGGAAAAATCTAAAAATGACTTCTTTAAAGTACCACTCCAGTTAAATTTCGTTTTAGAAAAATTACTATTATTGTAAATCAGAGCAAATTTGCTTGTAGAAAAGTTGTTCACAAAAAAAAAAAAAAAAAAAAAATAAATAAAAATAAACATCGTTGTAAAACCATAAGCTTCTTCACTCTACTCAGAATGAGCATATACATTTCAATATTTTATTTTGGGCAGTTAGGAAGTTAAGAAACGATTGGGGATTGTAAAAACTCTGCTTTTTGGAACATTCATAATATATTGAATTAGTTTTGCATATTTTTATTATTTAAGTGGACCGTAATAATTTCAGGTTTGGTAAATATTTCGAAAATAAGTGGTTTCAAACGGGGAAAAAACTCGCTTTTTCCCGACGGAAGGAAAATATTAGGTATAATTTGGATCCTAACCAATAATTAATTATACGCTATCATTTTGGACTTTATTTTATAAATAAAATATTGGTATCACTTATATGTAACAATATCAACAAAAATATATTCAAAAACATATTAAAACAGCTGTGTAAACACGTAAATAATCCATAAGATAACATTTTGTTTAATATTAAAAATAGTGCAAACATTTTATTTTGTTTTCATTTTATACTATTAAATATTTCGTGTATTATAATATTATTATGTAATAATAAAAAAAAAATCTAATATGAACGTCCTATATATAGATATTGTTAAACATCATAGAGAAAGTTGTATATGCGCGATTGATAAAAATGCAAACGGACTCTATATAGGCTCAGAGGTCATTATACCATAAATTATTACCGTCCAGTATTTATAGTTTTGTTCTATAGAACAACAGTTTTTTGCTGTAACGTATATATTTTTAATTTTTGTTATTGCATGTGATATTAAATAATATATATATATATGTATTAATTTTTTTATACATTTCTCGCGGTGTTAAATCAATCAAAAATAATATTTGAATATAATACAAATTTACTGTATAATTTATCGTTATAAAACTAGTAAATTATCATTATTTGGAAAGTGTTATAAAAAAATAATAAATAACTACAATAAAGTGGTTTATAAAAAGTAATTTAAAAAAAGAAACCATGCATTTCAAAAAAAAAAAACCCGAGAAATGCCATTGATCTAATTTTGCTATTCATAATAGTATTTGAATGTGCATATGAAGGTCGGTTTGACGAATATTGACTACGCGCGTCTGCAGTCTAACAAAACGATTCAAAATGTTTGAAAAAAAAAAAAGGCTGATACTGCTGATAAATGTACCCAATGGCGGCGTCAAGAGTAGGCTAGAGTGGGCTCGGTTAGCCGTTACGGCTAGTTTAATCTGTTGTTGTATATACACATTATTTTTAAATTGAAATATTAAATAGTTCATATGTTGTTATTTTAGATTCTAAGCGTAGCGAGAAATATATCGGTTTTGTTGTGTAGTTATATTTTTTGTGTCTGATAACAGCTTTTTTGTAGTATATCAATTTCCTTGTAGTTTCCTATGGGGGACATGAGCAAATTTACGTGATTTTAGTGTCTGTTATTTAGTTGTTATTCGGTTAAAGATAATCGGACTAATCGGTTAATCGTTTTGTGAGTTTTTTTTTTTTTTTTGAGAACATGCTACACGACACAAAGAAAGTTTTTTTTCGTATGCTGTGAAATGTTGATAATTCTACAAGAAATGCGTAAATATACGCGAGTATATTTGTCTCTCAAAAAACAGTTTTTACAATCAAATAACAGGAGGGGGGGGCTATGTTGTGTAATTCTTTATTTTTGGAGAAGCTTACTCTAGTAAAAGATAATATATAATTTTGTCTATACTAAAAATCATTGGACTCGGGCTGTTTTAGGAGGGAAGTTTGAAGGGAATAATTAAACGTATTCCTTTACGTAATGATGAACCATTACTTACGATAACCGATTTTGAAATTCTGAATTTTCTGTGTCACCAAAGTAACCCAAAAATCAACAAAAATTGATAGTTTATTTGTTAAAAACAGTATATGGAAAATCAAAAAATGGTTTCCTCAACGCATCAACGAGATAAAAAATGGTACAATATTTTTGATTAGAGTATGATTTCTGGTAAAAAAAAGTATTGTTTACAGATACGAAGTCAAACGTTTTTATTTCTATTTTTGGTTTATACAATCCGTAAATATTATTTAAAATAAGTATTGGTAAATGATAATGTGTTAAAAATAATTCTTACAATGATATAATATCGAGACAGTAGACTTGTGTGAAGAAGCCAGTCAGTGTTGGGAATTTAGGGAGTCAAAAATTAAATTTAAATAAAAAATACCATTACATTATTTTCCATTACTTTGAATTGTGGTTATAAACACTTCGAAAATAATAGGTACTCTTATTTCGTATTCAGTTGTTAATTATTCGAAGCCAAAGAACTATTAGGTAGGCACCTACGGTCATGTTTAAATTATTGAAGTCGAAATTAATCGTAATTTAAAACGTCCCGAACAATGGCCATTATAAATGAATACAGAACAAAACAATAACTTCTAACATAAGTGAATAAGTGGTCGAGTGTTTGAGAAAATTATTGATAATCTCTGGACTAAATAAACAAGACGTATGATGTACACATATCGCAATGCTTATTAAAATTGTATAATATAATATTCGTCGTTTCGTAAAATTGGTTTCGATTAGACGGCGGACAAAACGGAAAATTCACAACGTAAAAAAAAAAAAAAAAAACAAACCATACAAACAAACGAGCCGAGCAATTAATAATAGCGAAAAATCAACAATAATACAAATGTAATGATATTGAAATTATATTAATACATATAAACGCGCGCAACGAAACCAAATTATATTGATGTGCATTTTATTACGGGATATTTATTACAGTTTGTTTACGATGTTATGCGTTGTATGTGCGTTCGGCGTATAAAAAAAAAAAAAAAAAAAAAAAAACGCACAACAAAAAGACGAACATACTTTGCACGTGGGTACAACCTCTGTTGTAGGTGGACAGTTGGGAAGGTAGAATACGGACGGGAATTCGATGTGTACCTGTCGGCAACGATAAACCAACGATAACGAAAAGACGACTCTGAGCGGAGTTCAGTTGATAGTGTTGCTTTGTCAACAATATAGGTATTTATCATATTATAGTTAAATGATTGCAACATTGCGCGTTCCCAAAACAACAATGATCGGTTGAAAAATATTAAAACAACAATAACTTAATAATAACAAAAATATATATAAAAACGGTCGCCAATGATAATATTATTTGTAATTTTTCCACGATCTTTTTTGAACCTAAATAACCAGGTTTTCCTCGTCGTCTCGAACGTGAACGAGAATTTTGGAAAACGACCTCTCTAAAGTACCACCCAGAGAACATTAATTTCTTTCAGAAAATGTGCTACACTTGATTATCGGAGTGTGCTTTCTGGTGGTAGAAAAAGTGTAGAAAAAAATATAACAATAACAAATGAACACCATTGCAAAACCGACAGATCATTCCTCGATCCGCTCGGAATCCACAAAAAAAAAAAAAAAAAAACCACCAAAAGAAAAACAAAACGGCACCTACGGGCCGGAAAACCTCGGGGAAACGCCGTCGAAAAATCCAGTTCCCCCGGAAAAACTTGCACGTGTGCCTCCGCGTACGAAAATATCGAGAATCATAAAACGAAATACGCGGCGGGCGTGCATGCGGTACACGTTTCGTGCGTTAGGTAATCGACCGGACCCCGGCTAGGCGATATTATTATTATTATTATTATGTGTACGATTAATAGTGCGTGCGTTCCCGGGGCCCCGGTATTCTCGGTTACGCCGTCTCGGGCGGATTGTAAAAACGGAAAAAAAAAAAAAAAAAAACAACAAACAGGTTCGGGCCGCAATTTACGCGACGTCGTCGGGGCCGGCCGGCCGTGGATCGCGATCTCGGGATTTTCGGATTTCTTTGGCGCGAGTACACGGGTGTAGGTATTAAATACTATTATCATAAGCGTACGCGCAATAACGATAATAATAATAATAATAATAACGATAATAAGCGTAATATTATAACGTCGCGTCCGACGACGACGATACGTGGATAATCGCCACGGCCCGCGGTCCAATACGAATCCGCGTGCCAGAGTGTTTTTTATTTTTTTTTTTTTTTTTTTTTTTTTTTTTTTTTCGGACAACCGGTGCACCGAAACCCGCCGCCCGCCCCGCTGCACCGGTCCGTGGCGTCGGCGGCGCGGCAGCGAGGCGGCCGTCGTGTCGCCGCCGCGTTCGGCCCGAGCGCGCCCTCTCACCACCCCCCCACCAACCACCACCCCCTTTCCTACGCACCGCAATCCCCTCCGCACCCCGAGCGCAACGCGACATGCCGATGGCCGCGCGTTCGTTTTCAGTTGCACGAGGACACGGCGATATTATTATTTTTTTTTTTTCTCCATTGGCCGCATCGCAAGCGCAACGTATGCGTAAGTGTGCGTGCGTGAGTGCGTGCGTGCAAAAGAAGCGAGCGATCGCGGCCGCCGCCGCGCGCGCGGAAACGCTCCGGTTGCGGCGGCGGCGGCGAGTACGTCAAATACGGCGTCGGGATGCGTAGTGTTGCGCGTGCGTGAGTGCCACGCGCTGCACGCGACCGGCCGAAACGGCGGTCCGGCTCCTCCACGCGCTCCTAAATTCGGCACTGGGCCGGGTTCATAACCGAGGCGCCCTTCGGCCGTCGCCGGCCCGACGTCGGCAACCGTCGGCGCGGCCGAAGAGGTGAGAGAGGTAAAACAGTCCGGGCCGGCTCGGTTCGGATTTTGTTCCTCGTCCCCATTAACTTAACCATTGTTGTGGTACTGTTTCAATCTTCGGCCCGTGCCGTTCGCCGATTTTTTTTTTTTGTCGCTCTGCGTAAAACGCGTATATGTTTCAATTATTATTATTGTTATTATTATTATTATTATTATTGTTATTATTGTTATTATCGTTAATATCGTTATTATTGTTTTTTAATTGTTTTTTTTTCCCCCGTCCGGCACTTGTCGCCGCGGATTTAATACGCAACGTTCCCGCGGGGTTTACGCCGGTTCTCCTCGCACATTTTGCAATTTTTCCCGTTTTTTCCCGCGCCCCGTCCCCGTCCGTACCGCGCCCGCGCTCCGGCCCACGATCCTCCGCGAAAATGCGTCCGGCCCGCTGACGCGTCCGCACACGCGAATCGGATATCGTCACACACGGTCGAGAAGTCAATCGCGCGCCGTTCGACCGAGGAGTCGAGAATCGTCCAAAGTGCCGAATACCGTTCCGATGGATCGACGAACAAACAAGGTACGTACACACGGATTCAACCCGATTTTTTTTTTTTTATCCCCGTCCCTCTCGCCGCAAATCTATTTGTTCGTCAATCCGCAAACGTTTGTTCGCGAAAAACAAAAACCCCGTGCCGTTTTTTACTTTATCGTTTACACAATGGTATACGCGTCGTCGAATACCTACGGTATTCGATTACCGTCAGTGCCGTTTGCTCTTTGTTCGGTCAGGTTGTAATTTCGATTCCCCCCCCCCCATCCCCCGGTCGTTAAATGTCGCGCGTTTCGCAATTGCGAATCGGTCCGGCCGATTTCGCGGGTACCGAAAATTTACCGGACACACGGCGATGAAATTTCGGGCGCATTTGAAAGTGTGCGCGGCGAACGGCCGAGTAACGACAATAGCGAAATATTGTGCGCCTGTCTACGTAACAGACGGTCTATTATAATAGCGTAATAGAGTCAATGCCAAAAATTGTTTTTTTTTTTTTTTCCTCTCCATCCGGGGAACCGTGTGCGCCGTTGCGAAATCGCTAATCGTTTGGCGCACGGTCGTCTCCCGGCACCGGCGGCGCGCGCGTTATGATCGGCCCGGTCGTCGCGGCCTTTTCGTACGCGAAATCTCGAATTTTACGTACGCGCGTGCATCCTGACCTAAGTCAACACCGTGTATACGCCGACGTCGCCGCATGTTTTTCGACGGCACCGGCGACGGTGCACGGGCTCCGTAACCTCCGACTCGAGGCCTTTGTCCGTCTGCCCCGGGGCCGCCGCCGCCCGCCTGCGGCAAGGACGACGGCGTTTTCGCGAATTATCGCGAATTCGTATTTTGCGAATTGGATTGGAAAAAAAAAAATTTTTTTTTTAAAAAACGAACGAACTGCCGCCGTGCCACGTTATATTTCCCCGTGTGCGGTAGAATTTTTTTTTTGCAAAATAATAAAAAAAAATAAAGTGAAACGACGGAATATCGTACTGGCAGGTTAGGCGGACACCTGAGTGACGTGGCGAAACGATACCCGTACTGCGGCGGTACATGCAATACAACTGCGGTTCGTTTTCGCGATGTTTCCGCGTCAAACGGCGGAATTGGTTTGGGATTTTATTTTATATTTTTTTTTCCTCTACGACGATTGTCGTCGATCGCCGGATGTGTCCGATGATAATGTGCAAAGCGACGCGCGATATTGAAAAACGTCGGCGTCGTCTTTACGCGCGCGCGAAACGTTCCCGTCGACGCGGGGCGGAAAAAATTTCACGGCTGTGCGATAAATTCTCGTTTGGGGAGGAAAAAAAAAAAAAAATAAATAAAAAAATAAACGTCGGTTTTCCGCAAATACAATCGACGGAAATTCGCGGCGCACCCCGATCGCGATATAGGTGTACGGGTTTTTTTTTTTTTTCCTGAAACGTTTTAGAAGATTTCGTCGTCTTCGGCGCCGGTGATCGGCGTCCGCAAGATCCTCGGTCCTGACCGTCGGGTTTATCGCCCACTCGCGACGGATCAATGCGAGCGTGCCCCTTGTCGATCGGACCCCCCGGGGCCATTGGTGATGTTTTCGGCCGTGCGAGTGTTTGAAAGTGCCGCGTACGAACCGCCCGAATTGCCGTCAGCGAGTGAATGAACGAACTAAAAAATAATAATGTGTCGTCGACGTGAAAAAAAAAAAAAATGTACAATAAATACGACGAGAACCGTCGTATTTTTAATAATCGGTTTATTTTTTATGATCCGCCGCGGAATTTTTTATAAACCCATTGAAATAAACTTTGTAAGTACGTTCTTATTATTATTTTTTTTCCCTCCTACGTAATAACGTTATAATAGTACTTAAAAAGTAGTTTAACAAGTGCTTAAATACGTCCGGGAGTTTTTTTCTTTTTTTTCCGAGAAAACGCGATCGCAACGTTACCGTAAATATTATTGTAAACATAAATGATTTTCGCTACGTTACGGATTTTTGCGAAAACACGCAAAAAACCGGCAAGACGAACAATTTGTACCGTTTTTGTCACGGCGACAATTTAATTCGGCACGCATTACGACAATCGTCGGAATTATCAACAAACGTGTTAAGACCGTAAGCGCGTAACAATATCCAAAAATTATCATAATGTTGCGATAAAAAGTAATTCCGATTCGCCGTCTAAAAGGCTCGCGGTTTGTTTCCCCCGCCCCCTCCCCGTTCAGATTCCGAACGCAGCACAGTATCGGTTTCGCCACTGTGACGCGGGGTTTCGTTTTTCCCCCCCGTCTCGTCGTCCGTCGACCGTTTTTCCGCGCCGGCGAACCGTGGACCGGTCCGATTTCCGCGCGCCGTCCGAGAGCGAATCGCGTCCAGTCGGCGTCGTCGGGCGGTCGTCCGTCCTCCCCGCGGTTTTTCCGGACGGCCGGGCGAAAACCGCGGAAAAACCGACAGAGTTCCGCGGCCGCGTTATGATAACGGGTCCCGCGTTTGTTAGTTCTCGTCCTCTCGATTTTTCGCCGTCGGACACAATCGCGGACAATTTTTGTATTTATTCTTTTTTTTTTTTCGTCGGCCATTTATCGGCGCTCGGCATCGCGTACATATTTGAAACCGGCGTCGGCGTTCGACCCGACTCAGAATCGTGACGCCGTCGTTTCGGTTTGCGATACACCGGCGGTCATTGTGCGATTTATAATACCGTAGGTACCCGTCGTGATGGCACAACAGCGCATCGCACCGTCCGAGGAACCATTCGAAAATCCGGATATGCTGCGCGCGCGTTATCGACCAGAGATTTTACCGCCGCCGTTGGATTTCGCATAGTCGGTATTGTGTTGTTTAGGAGAAGAAAAATAAAAAAAAAAAATAATAATAATAGCGCGCGGTAGGTCTTCGTCGCGGTATGAGTATCGGAAACGTTCGCGAAGGGAAAAAAACAAAAAAAAAAAAAAAAAAAACCCCCGAAGATAATCCGAAGGCAGGTCAGTAAGGCACACACACACACACGCACCGGGTCTTCCGGGAACACCGCTGTGTTTCCAAAACACACAGGTAAGACACTCCCGTATACAGACGTTCGCGTGTTCGGGTGGTTTTTTTTTTTTCCGTTTTTTTTTTTTTTCTCTATTCATCCCACGTGTCCGCAAATATCGCCGACGTTTCACGTGCGCTGCACGGTCGTCACCTCGGCGGGCGGTCCACCGTCAAATGTCTCGTGCGGATTTCCGGACTCTGCGGCCATATTCGCACGGTTCGTACCGCGGTTAGGTTATCATCGCGGCGCGCGGACGGTGCGGTATACGTCGGGAAACCGAACGCGGTGTAGCGATCGACGGTGCACCGGCCCCAGACAATACATCGGTGCCCGCCGGACCCAAGCGGACGTGCCGCCGCGCGAGAGGATATTGTCGCGGCGGTTTTCGGCGAAAAGAATACGAAAATGAAACGATCGTGTGTCCCTCGTGCCTCTGCGAGCGTACCGCGTTCGCTGCTCCGATCGAAAACTCCGCAGGAATTTTCCGATAGCGTTTTGTTTTTTGTTTTTTTTTAATTTTCTGTAATCAATTACTACCGCACCGCACGCGGGCGGCGCATCGAGATAAGGCGTTTTTTTTTTAATTTCGTTTTTTCTCGATTTTTCCTCGTAGTTTTTCCTCGTTGCGAACAACGGCCGGACATAACTGTAGCGGCGATAACGACAATCTCGGACTTCTCCGGCCGTGTTACCACCCGGCGACGAGGAAAACATTAATAACGCGACGGTTTATCGTCGCGCACGAGTTATACGAGTCGAATTCCTCTGCGCACGATTTAATATCGCGATCTAATTTTTATTGTTTTTGAACGCGATAAAATCATACTCGCCGCGGAACGCTATTCGGTTGTTTTTTTCCCCCTATTAAAATAAATAACGTTTATTGTAATTTCCGCGTACAATCGCGGGCTTTTATGCCGTCGTATAGTTTTCGCGATATTCGCGTGGGCGCAGTTCTCACGGGCCGGGGATGGCGGATATCTGACACCTTTTTTTTTTCTCGTTTTTTTTTTTTTCTTTGTCTCTAGAACGAAATTCTCTCGTACGCTAATTAGCGTTGCGTTATTTACGAAATGCCGAAGGAAAGTATTCGGGAATATTCAAGACGATTTCGGCGGTCGGCCGTACACACACGGTTGGGCGGTATAAATGAAGATATCATCGTATCTTGTACCGTGTTACGTTGTTTTAAGGTGTCGAGCGTCGTGTACGTTGTTTTGCCGATGGATGCAACATACGTTTATTGTAAAAATGTTTGTTGCAGAATGGTACCGAAAAAATCCGATTTCGATTTGCAAAACGCCTCGAAACATAAAATAAACGTAACAATGCCATCAACGTATATAACCCGTGGGATCATTTGAAAAAAACATATTAAACTCCGAATCTAAAATAGGTATACACCTCCCTCCTATACACTCTTTTGCAGTCATACAGATAACGATTAAACGGGAATTTTCGTTCACTTAAAATATAGAATCCTCCACTGTCATCTAGATATGAGCGTAAACCTTACAGCCGAAAACTTTACACGTTTTTTCAGGAAACCTTTCGCTTTCGAGATATTTAAGATGGTGGAAGTAATGTGCAAGCGTTTCTTCTTCCTCGCCATTTACGATGTGCTAACCGTACGAATATAATTATTCTAAATGACTATCCGTCTATAAAAAAAAAAATCCGTTTATAAAACACAATAGTGGTCTGTGAACATCTGCTCCTGTTGAGCGTTTATGTTCATTTATGCCAGTTTTGCGCACTCGCCCAGTAGATTTCTATCAATCTATCCGACAGAATGTTTGAAAAGTTAATTTTTCTCAAAGGTAATCGAGATTTTTATCTCTAAAAACAACATTTAATTTTCATTATTGACTGCTGCGTTAATGCATTAATAATGATGACGTGAAGAGTTATGATTTTTTGATCTTAATACTCAACGATATAATTCATAAACATCGATGCGTTAATTGTAAATGTATAATGTGTACTCACTTATTGTACATTTATTGATGAACTAAATGCGTGTATCATGTATAAGTTTTTTTTTTTTTTTTGAGTATCTTGCCCAACCCTGGCCGTGAATAATATATAAGCCGTTTCCCCCCCGATCGCCGGCCACGCTATAAGTTAACTTCCGAAAATTCGCGTGCGCGCATTTGGGATATTTTTAAGAGCCGTAAAAATGTTATCGACAAATTTGACAGCGGCGTCGTGACGGAAACCGAATGTCGCGTGGAAATAATGTAAAAGTCGCGCATAAATATTTAACCGTCGCGGTTCGTTTCCGGACAGTTTTGAAATTATATTAACCGGCTATAACGCTGAGGACGGCGAACGCAACCCTTGCAATAGCGCGTCGGTGTCCTTATACAATTATTACCGTACTTATTAAATGTTTTTATTTATTTTTTATTTTTTTGTCACGACGTCAAAATTTCCCGATTCGATTTTAGTCAAATATAGCGAGTTTCGATTAAAATACATTACGCCGGCACGCGTAGGATATTGAATTACGATTACGCGTCCGTGATATTATAGTTGAATATTCATATTTGCGATTTTCGAACTAATTATACCGTAGAGTATAAAACATACGGCAAAACCAGGAGAAACCGCCGTCGGTTACATTAAAATCGTTGTTACGCATTTTTTTTTTTCTTTCGATAAGGCTTCGAATTACGAAACGAACGTTCCGGGGGGAGAGGGGGAGGAATTGTAATGAATCGCGGTAAACCCGGACCACATTGAAAACAACAGGCACACGGGACAATCGTCCGCGAATGCCCCGAACCGTTTAACGCAGTCGTCCGTACACGCGGACGGACGGAGGGACGTTTTCCGAAAGGACATTGTAAGTTTTTCGGACGGGTCCGGCGGGCGGGTTTCGCTTTAACGGCCGTCGGTAATACGAGTGGGGATTTTTCAAAAAATTTTTTATTTCTCGCGGCAGGTTTTTTGATATTTTCGAAAAACCCGGGCGATCGAAGGGCGGAGACGAAGGATCGGCGCAGTTCATCGCGCGGCGGCCGCGGCCGAGACGATGACGCGCGTTTTTTTCTTCTAAGGAATAATTATTCCAATTTCGAAACCGAAAGGTCCACTGTTATTGTTAACTATTATTGTTATTATCATTTTTTTTTTCTTTTTCACTTTTTCACTCGTCGAGTAGTCTGACGATAACGGCAGATAACGCGACGGTGGCTCGTAGTACTACGGCGGCGGCGACGACGACGACGACGACGACGACCAGATCCCAATCGTTTTTCCGTTGTCGTGTGCGTACAACCGCACGCCGTTTACAAATTACAATAATAACAGAAAAAAAAAAAATGAAAAAAAATAAATACAAACACAAATAACATTACGGGGGCCTTGTTGTTTGTTTGCGTAATACTCGTTTAACCTAACCTGACGGCTTTCGCCGGGCGTATAATCCGCTCGCGTGCAAGTTACGCCCGCGACTTACCGGCGTCCCCGAACCCCGCAAATGTCCCGCATTACGATCGGCCGGTAATCCCGCGGTATTAATGGGGGAGCGGTCGGCCCGTCGCGCCGCGGCTCTGGGTCACGTATCCATCGCGGCCGTTTAAAAACGCGCCGTATCCCGCGATACACGAAAACAACACCGTGTACGGCCGCGGCTCGGGAAACGGCCGGCCGGCAGGTGCCGCGTACCGTACGCGCTACACGATAATATTATACGAACTCGTTTTAGGGGTTGTTTTCGGAGTCGAGAGGGCGAGAGCGAGAGCAATGAACCCTCCCGGAGGGGCGCGCAAACACCGGATCGCTGTAACCGGTTACACGTCGTCGTCGTCGGGAAAACAGAAAACGGGGGGGGGAGGTGGCGAACGGTATACGTAGTCGTCGTCGCGGCTGCTGCGCGTGTTTTTTTCTCCCGCCGGCGTCCGTTGTCCGCCCGGAGAAAAACCGATCGCGCGAAATTCCGATTCGTCGCGACGGGGTGTCGTGAAGTATACTATTATTATTATTATTATTATTATCGGACGGACGAAAAAGAAAAAAAAAAAACGACGGCGACGGCTATTTCGACTAGGACGGCCACGTCGGCGGTGCGGTGGCGAGACAATGTCTAGAACAAAAAAAGAAAAAAAAAAAGAGATAAATATATATATATTTATCTGTGTGTACGACGCGAATTTCCAGCGCGAATAATAAATGTATTATTGTGTTGTAGTGCGTGTTCGGGAAGGAGCGGGCGCAGACGGCGGGTTTTTTTTTAATGTACGCGTTCCACACTCTCCGCCGAGTTGTCGAGGTCGGTGTTCGACGGCGGCGGCTACGGTCGTCCGGCTCGGGCGCAGTACGCGGGGGCCCACGTGTAGGCGACGGACCGTCGTTTCTGCCGCCGACGGCGGCGCGCCGAAACGACCGTCCGGGTCCTCCGCAATCGCTCGCCGCCGCCGCCGCCGCATCGGTGCGTTGAGAAAGGTTACACCGCCGCCGCCGCACGCATGTTCCTCTCGCCGCGTAACGAAACTTCTTGTTACGTTTCGCGCACGGCCGCCGCAGTCACGCAGCGCGTTGCATAACTCATTCCTCGGCTCTTACTACACTTCCATTAACCTCCCTCTCCCATCACCCCCCCAAGCGCCGCCGAAACGCCCGCGCCACCGCCGACGGCGTATACGTACGACACTACGCTGTTATCGTTCGGCCGATTTTCTCCCCAGCTCATCGGCACTCGTCGTCGTATTCGAATCGGCGTCCGAAACGAAACGACGACACGGACCGGCACGCGATAACACCGTCGCCGAATCCATCGTTTTCCGTTCTTCGCATGTTCGATTATCGAAGAGAAAAAAAACAGGCGACGGCATTGTTGTCAATTTTTTTCGTGACCCATATTGTCCGTATAACATTAATTGCGGCCGCGCGGTCGTAATATCGTGCGCCGCAAACCGTTGTAAATAAGAACGCGGATTATAATATTATTGTTTTAACACGCGGCTGCGATGGAAATTACGCGGACACATTGACAATACGTCAATAATACGACATTTCTATTGTTCGGCCGGTCGGCATTGCGTAAAGCGCGAGAGATGATGTGTAATTTGTTACTTTTTTTTTTTCATCATCATCGTATTAATATTATTATTATTATTATTATTCATCACTCTCTCTTCTCGCCATCTCCGTCCGTCTCGCTCGGTCTCTTTCTCTCCCCGTCCGTCTCTCGCGCGCGCGCGCTCTCTCCGTCGGTCACGTTGTACAATCGCTCCCTCTCTCTCGCTGCGTTTCTTTCACTCTTTCTCTCTGTCAGCAATAATAACGAAACGTCCGTGCGTGCGCCGCGTACTGCGTTTTTGACGAGAACAACAATATAATAAAAATTCGGCAGATGCACACGCACACACGCGCCGGATCGCGCGGCGCGCGCGCGCACGAACAGCGGTGTCAACGAACCTCGGAACGCCCAAATGCAGGCGCGCCCCCTTTTTATATATATTTTTTTTTTTCGGAGAATATAAACGTCGTCGTCGGCTTCGTGGTCGTCGTCGCCGCCGCCGTCGTCGTCGTCGTCGTCGTGGTCGTTGGTATATCCGACCCCAATGCCCGAGTTATTGGTTCGCGTGTGCGTGCGCGGTGCGTGTGATTCACCGGGGTCAACGCACGGGCGCCCCGCGGTCGTTACCGCGCGCGGAACACGATGTAAAACGAAAAAGCAAAAACCGTGGTTTTCCTTTCCCGAAAAAAAAAAAAAATAAATACATTCTATATTTATACCGACGGTGAAGACGACGACGACGACGACGACGGACGGCCAGTCCGTCAAGGTTGTAACGTGTGTTATTGTTATAATAACAACGACACGTACGCCGCGGAGACGGCCGCCGTCGGGACGCCGGACATAGCCGTCGCCGTCGTCGGCGGTTCTTTCGCGAACGCCGGAGACTCGGAGAGTTCGCGATAACTCTCTGCACATCCGCCGCGACGCGGTTCCCACACGTGAAACGCAACCCCACGTGCGCCCGGCAGGTGTCTGCCGCCGCCGCCGCCGCCGGTTGACAACGATATTATATAATAATATGCAATACGTCGTGCGCCGCACAATAATGCGTATTGTAATAATACACGCGTTCGTATTAAATAAATCGTCGCGGAGGGATTGTATTATTATTTCGCGCCGGGTTCTCGCTCCTCGGCGGCGTCCAGCGAACGCGTGCAGCGGTTGCAGTAAACACGTGTGGGCAAGCGGCGCGCGGGGGGCAAGGACGAACCGTCGTCGTTCGATGACCTCAATGCGTTTTTATTGGGCCTATTATGGTTGTTTTTTTTTTTTTTTTTTTTTTTTTTCGTCATTCGTCCCCCCATCGGTTCGCGATAGTACGCGGCCGCGGCGCACATCCACGCACCGCCGCGCGGGTCCCACGTGCGACGGCCCGTCGGCCGCGTTCGGTTCCAGTCGGCGCTTCTCTTCTTATCGCGGACGCGTGTGCGTGTGCGTGTACGCACAGCTATTATGGCAGTAACGCCGTATACGCGACGCACACGCACACGGAACCGTCGCGTACGCACAAATAACGCACGCACGCAACGCGCGAACGCCGCCAAAGCACGAATCGCCGCGCGCGCGGGGAGGCACCACGGTGCAGCGAACGCGGCGATAGGCACAGTGTAAACGCGCGCATAGCCGCCGCCGCCGCCGCCGCCGTCGCCGTCGTGCTGCCTGTCCGTACGTCCGCCGCGGTCCGTCCTCTCGCCGCCGCCGCCGTCGCCGCCGACGTCGTCGTTTTCGTCGTCGTCCGATCGCTCAAATCGTTCGCACACTCGCACCCGTACGCACGCACTGTACGCACGCACACGCAAACACGCACACGCACACGCACACACACACACACACGTGTTGTATCGTATCGTATAGTACGGTAGTATACATTATAGTGTAGCCGGGAAACCGACACCGCGGGGACCGCCGCCGCGTTTTGGACGGAACGCTCATCGCGCCGCCTTCGGGGCTTCAGTAGGCTCCTGATTGTTGGCCGCGGTCCCGCGACGACCGTACAACGCACCACGCGCTAGCGTTTCGACGGCCCGAAAACACTATCGTCGTTATTATAATAATATTACACCGTTCGTTTTCACGATTTCCTAGGTGTTTTTTCTTTTTTTTTTTTTTTTTTTTTTTTTTTTTTTTTTTTTTTCGTCTATTTTTTCCCCTCTCTCCGCGCAACAGCGACAGCTGCCGCGGCCAAAGAATTATTATAGTAACGCACACAAAACGCGTACACATAACATACACACACACATACACCACAACAGTAGTGCAATCGTTTCAGTAGCAAACGGCCGTGCCGCCGGTGATTGCAGTCTCTTCCCGATTACAGCGTCTTCCGCGACAAGAATTAAACCCCCTCTCCCTAACCCCCTGGTCGGCGCCGCGTATCCGGCGGAACATGAAAAATGGCTCAACTCTGGGACAACACGCAAAAACAATGGATCAAAAATTTCTTGCTCAACATGAAAAACAACAACAAAAACGCCGGCGGTAAGCACACGAAAATCCACGGATTTTTACTAATTTTTTTCCTCCGCCTTCCCCTCCGATATTCGATATTCGGCGATAATTTAATGACAATTATACAGTCGAGTTTTCGTATTTTCGGTTTGTAATTTTTTTTTTTTTTTTTTTTTATGCGGCGCGATTTTTATCATCGTACAATATCATAACCGATACGGTTTTTCTATACGCCAACACAATATAACAACTTATTATTTACAACGACAGACCGTGTCTTCTGTGCACGCGGACGCTTATTTATGCGAAAAACGCTCGCAATAACATCAACAACAATAATAATAATAATACAAATAATAATAGTAACAATCGTCGCCATACAGCGGTACGACGATTATTTATACGATTTCCGTCGACGTCGGCGGAAAATTTTTTTCACGAAAAACGCCGAACGCGCGCGCCACGGGTTTTTTTTTTTTTTTTTTTAATCATACGATCGCGACAATAATGTCATACAATATATTATAATGTCTTCATTCGATTATGTCGCGGCGCGCACGATATTATATTTCCGTCGGCGGAATGAAAAAAAAAAAAAATTAAAACCGAAAACGCCGACGTCGCGGAAATGCGCCCCCGCACGCGGACAATATGACACGGCGGCCCGCGAAACGTCTTTAAATACCGAATACCCACGAAAATCCGCCGGGAAGTAAAACGGAATGACGCGTAAATCGGGTTTTCGTCACGTTATCCGTTCGACTCGCGATACTTGGCACGTAAACGAGCGAAAAAAAAAAGGAGAAAAAACAAAACGAAAAGCGCTTAAAACGGTATTGAAGGGTCTCCGGTCAACGATGCGACTCGAACACGCTGTTGCGACGCTCCGCACGTAAACGGCCGAGTGTTTTTGTTGACGGTTTTGAGCTGGACGGGTTTTTTTTTATTTTTTTTTTTTTCAACGGCGGCTTTTTAATGAGCGCGATGTGTTTGATCATCGCCGCCAAATACATAACGCGGGAGCCAATCATTATGGGATAACGCGCGAAAATCGCGTATAAAAAAAAAAAAAAAACGCCGGGAACCCGGCGGTGTAATTTACGGGCCGTCCGCGCGCGTCGGTTTTCCGAGCCGGTAATCGCCGAGTTCGCGAAACCTCACGAAATTCCGTCGGGCGCCCGAGAATTATTCAAATATCGAGCAGAAATTCGCCGACGCGCGTGTGACCGCCTTTGAGTCCGCGGTAACCGGCCGACCGCGCTCTAACGTGTCACATCGAACGTACCGACATTCGCTGATTTTTAACCGCCGTCGCTGACAGTTGCGTGAAATTACACTGTCTAAAACGACTGTTAAACGACTTCTTAACCTTCCAAAAAAAAAATGTTTAAAAAAAAAAAAAACCGAAATGACGGCCCCGACGCGTATTCTACAGTGTGTATCGCGACGATTTTAACGTTACAATCCAATTTCGGACACTCGTTATTCGATAAATATTCGTCCGGGCACAAAAGCCGAAATCGGGCGAAACGTCATATATATTCCGGATTTCGCCCGGACAAACCTGCGGGTACAACAGTGACCGATTTCATTTGGGCGAATCGCCGGCCTTTAATAAAGGTCTTCGTCCCGATATTATACACAATATAGTCAAACAGCAAACACGGTGCGTTCACTGTGCAAAATCGAATTTTCGCGGACGTGACGGTTTCGGCGAAACGAGGTCGATGCACTCGGTGTGTCCGGGCAAAAGCCGAGGCTCGATGTTTCGCCCCCCCCGAGTAAATCGCGGACATTTTAGCTGCGCGTCGTGCTGCGGGCGTTTCGGGGATTCGCCCGATCCGGTACTTTTGCCCGGGTCCCGACCGCTCGTTAACGCGGCACACCGGTGTTGTGCTTATCGAATTGCGCGATACCCGCGGGCGTGCGTTAGTTGTGATTTTTTTCCCCGGTTTTTTATTATCATTATAATTATTTTTTTCTCGAAAACGTAAAGTTTTCGGCGAAAGGAAACGCGCACAAATGTCTCCGAAATGAGGCGCGCGACTCGCGGCGCACATGTTTTGTGTTGTTCGCGTACACTATCGCAACGCGTTACAACCCGACCGAACAATTACACGCGAACGAACCGCACAATTAAATATACCATACGTTTTACGATTTATCTATCTCGCCCGTAAATAACGTGTGTTACGTTTATGTGCATAGCTCGTGTCGGATATAGCGGGTTACACAATTACGGCGAATAAAATAATATCACCGTGATAAAACATGCATATAATATACGTAACGACCAAAATTAACGAACAAAGTTAATCTCGCGCGACTTATCGAGAAATACCTTAAATTAAAAATAATTACAACGATATAATAACCGTGCGTGCGGCGAACGGTCAACGTCGTCGTCGTCGTCGTGCACGGCTTTGACCGTCCGGGAACAAAACCCGGTGCGTTTCGTTCGTTGTGTCGTGTCGATTTTCCATTTGATTTGTTATTTTATTTCACCTACACAGGTTAGGGACCGACACACGCGCTGTTGTTATAATATTCTCTCTCTCGCCCTCTCTCTCTTTCTCTCTATCTCCCTCTCTCTCGCTCTCTCTCTCTCTACGCGATTGCGCGGCTATACCTATTTCGTTATTGTTTTCGACCGTCCTAATGACACACGGTCATATCGGTTTATCAGTATAACGTACGTTGTTATCACGCCGTAATAACATTTATCACGTTTACAACGTCGGTTTTATTACGTTATTATTGCCGGCCGCGCAGTGCCCGCCGACCTCAAACTCCTTCCACATCCCGCCCGTAAACGCACCGCTGTAATACATACATCATTCTCCCGTATACCGTTTCCCCGTCCGTACCGCCGTCTTTTAATCGGATCTAATCGGGCTTTGCGGGGGGCTCGAGTGGTCTCATCCCGTACACAACGTGTAAACAGAAAAATCAGTCCCAATTGGTAATTGGACGATGAGGAGTGGGAGCTAATTTTTCCAGCTCCCCTCGACAACTTCCGCCAACGGCGTGACGTGGAACCGATTTCGGCGTCGGAAAGAGCGGATCGGCCTGTCGCCGAGACTTCCAGAAGGCGGTGGCGGTACGAAAGAGTGGCCGCCCTGGCGTACAGAGAAATCTAGCAAAAATGATTTGGTTTTTATTTTTCATTCGTTGAACGAATTTTACACCGCGGACATTTGATAAATTTCACTGAAGACCGCCAAAGGGAACTAGGTTTTCGTGTCCTCCCTCCCCCTCCGGGTTTGTAGATTTCGGTGTAGGGTCTGGTGCAAAATCGAATCGCCGATTTGAGGTGCAAACACTTCGCGCCGCCGCCGCCGCCGCTGTGGAGGCCGTACGCGTCTGTCGGGTAATTTTCCTCTCCGATTTTCGCGCGATATTTCCCGCGAGAAAACCGCGTTTTTGTGAGTTTTTTTTTTTTCTTGAACGATACGGACCGGTTCGCCAGTAATGTCGTCAAAACGAATAATTTTCGAACGCGACGTACGTGTCGCACGAGTAGAGTAGCCGCCATATTATTGTTATAATGCGCATCTGTTTAATGCGAACCGCGTATAATATTACCGACGCCGGTCGCGGTATACACTGTATATTTTGTATATTTTTATTACGATATTTGTAACGCAGGCGCGACGTTTACCATTTTTTAGCGATACGAAATTTGAATATATTGAATGTATAATTAACTCGAACCGCATGGAAATCCGAAAGCGATCGCGCGACTCCCCGCCGGCCGCCGGCCGATTATCCTCTGTCGTGATAATTTTTTTTTTTACATTACTATTATTTTCGTTATTTTTTTTTTTTATTATTACTATTATTTCCCCTCTCGTCAATTCGTGCGCGCGTTCGGCGTCCGCGGAATATTTTTCGAATCGTTTCCGCGGACAACATGATTATGTTAATAACACGCGCGTCCCGCGCGACTCCCCCTGTCGTCGGTGGTGTATATAACACCCGAATTACGTCTACGGCGCATTAGTTTTCACCGTCCGTCGATTCGTCGGCCAATAGCGCGGGGGACAAATCGTTAACGCCGTCCGCACGTCACGATATCGTTATAATTATAATTCGACGAGTATATTTCGTCTGCCGTCGTCCTCCGGCGGTTTTTTCCCCCGTCCGCGCGATCAATCGACCGGCCCCGTCGTAGTTCACGGACGGCTCCCGGATTTTCATTTTCGAAACAAAACCGTCGTGCGTATACGGGCGAGTTATTTCGCTGTTAACTCCCGGTTCTTTACGGTCGCCGATACGGCGCTCTGTATGGACCCGTCGTACGGCTCGTGCCCCGGGCCCGACGGCCCGGCCCGCGGGAAACTCGGAACCCCTTTGTCGGGTGCGCGCACGCTCGCTCGTTCGCCCGACACACCGGACCGCCGGTGTGAACAAACGAGACTTCCGTGGGTGACGGGAGAGGAGGCGGATGGGAGTGAGAGGTCCTTTGAAACGTTTGTTTTGCCAAAAAAAAAAAATCCGCAAAAACAAGCCGAGGAGAGAATCGCCGTTGTTATACTAACGGGTCGCGAGACGACGGTAAAAAGAACAAAAAAATGTAAAAAAAAAAAAACGCCGCGTTCGGTGCAGCGAAGAACAATAACGGTTATATTGTTATGCCGACATTATACGGGAACCGACGTAATGTTATTATTGTAACAATTCTATAAATATGTACGATATCGTAGTGCCCGTTATCTCCCGAACGGCGACGGTATATCGGACCGGGGACCTTTGCCTCGTGCGGTGCCGTTTTCGACGAAACATCAATTGCACATTACGTTACACTCGTCCGATCGTCATTATCATTATCATTATTATTATTATTATTATTGTTATTATTGTTTTTTTATTATTATTATTATTATTGGTAGAGCGAACGCCGCGATCGTGAACCCGGTCGCGCGCGCAGTCGACACCGTCCGTAGCGTGTTTTTTCGGACGGGGGACGCAACGATCCTAGAACCCACTTTAAAGCGCATGCGGATACTAGGGGTCGGTATTCCTTGACCGGAAGGACACTGGAAAGAAAGCCGGATACGTAATCAATGTAAAAATTAGCTTAGTGATAAACGGAGGTGTCTACGGTTATCACGGTCGTCTTCAATGTGTAAATAAGACGATAACATTTATATTTGTATGGATTCTAAATATAATTACATGATTTTTTTTTTTTTTTTTTTTGGCACTTTTTTTTTTTTTTTTCTCGTTTTTAATCGACAGGATCGCAAACGAAAAAAAAAATCCGTTCTTGCCCGTCCCCCGAATGGACGCCTACGCGCGCAACACCAACACCGCGCCGCCGCCGGGTAAAATATTAATATCACCGCATACGGACAAACACTCGTAATACACGATAAAATCGTTCTTATTGCCCGTGTTTAAAGTGTTTTTATTTTTTTTTTCTCGTTTTTAATCGACAGGATCGCAAACGAAAAAAAAAATCCGTTACCCGCGCGTATGCCGCGGAAACGCGCGAAACGAGAGGGGGGAGAAGGGGAGGCGGGAGAAAAATCCGATCGATTTCGCGCTTTTTCGATCGATCGAACATTACGCTCCGGTTTCGTATACCGTTGTAACAACAGCACACGCGAAAATATCATCGTATACGACACCGGCGGATTTGTAGCTTTTTTTCTTCTCGTTTTCTTTCCTTTCGGCTTGTTTACGGAATTCCGCGTCGCTCGGGGTCCCGGGCGAGTGAGTGTTCCGGGTTCACCGACCTCGCGCGTCGCGGAGAAAACTTTTATTCGCCCGCCGAACACGAAATACGCGAAACGCATTTCGCGTACCGTTTGCGAAACGTTTACGCGGGCCGCGCCGTGTATTTTACTCACTTCGTCACCTCCGGTTTTGTTTTTATTTCCCTTTATTTTTCGTCAGTCTAATCGTTAGCGCCGATATTCGCGGCCGTATGGACGGGGCGCGTAAACGTTCGGAATTTTGGTTTTTTTTTTTTTATTTTTTCTTATTTTTCTTTCGCGAATCTCGTGCGAAAAATTCTCGCGAAATTTCGATCGCGCGGCGTCGCGAATAGGCAATTCACGGCCGTCTGCGTCGTGTGTGCAAAAATATCGTATTGCCAAATCCTCCCACACGCCGACGCACGCACGCACCACACAAACACACGTGATATATTTTTTTTTTCGCGAATATTATTTTTTTTTTCTCTCGCTGTTTGTACACCGCCGCGCTGTCGTCGCGTTGTCGACGTCGTCGCATAATCGGATTTATTTTTATATATGTGTACGCGTACGTATATTATTTCGCGAACCGTTTTCTTTTCTTTTCGGCCGTCCATTGCGACCGACGTGTTACGGACGCATAAAACACGTTTCTTTATCTGTTTATTTTATCGTTACTTACATTTTTCATTTTTTTTTTTTTTTTTTTTTTATCGTCGCTCGTGTTGATATTTCCTACAAACACCGTAAATATGCATTGATCGCCATTGTCAGACTACGGTCGAGTTTTTTTTTTTCTTACAATTTGCGGCGGAAACATGTTTCGGACGGGTCTCAAGAGCCGTTTACACGGTGACAGCTACACACACGCGCGACAGTCGCCGACGCGGCACTGTCGTCGTGTAGAACGTAGTTCAGTCACTAGCAGTCGACGGGACGACAATGCGACAGTACTGTCGCGCTATCATGCCGAGCTAGATGGTCGACGGTAACTACCGCGGCCCGTTAACGCGTTATCGCTCAGCGTTAACTGGTACCACGAACTAATTCGTGACCGGTACGTTTGAAATCGTTCAATCGCTATCGATTTAATCTCCGTTCGTTCGTAAAAAGTTATAAAACTTTTATTATAGGGTCTTCAACGCCGAGTTCATTCGTAGAAATAGGCCCGTATAACTAATTTAATTTTTGTTTTTCCGTTGAAAAATATAAAGTCATGATTTTTAATATCTTTTTTTTCCCCATATTTATTGTACCTATAGAATCGATGATACATTAAAATACTGAATAGTCGGTCACTGCAGTAAACAAACCGCGTACATTTAAAGGGTACGACGAAAAAAACCCAGAAATATCACTTTGGGTATGTATAGATGTAAACGATTCGTCTATTGTTATATATTTCAATGCGATTGCCGTCGTCTTCGTTTCAAACGTAATTCAATTTTGTTGACCACGTTTCAAAATACAATAAAAAATGCGCTACGTTTTGAAATTATAAGATCGAATCTTCAAATTGGAAAAAAAAAAAAACTCAAGTTGAATAAGAAAGTGATTTTTCTGTTTTTCACCCCTTCGTTCGATTTCGTCGGGGGAGTGAAATCGCAGTCGCTCCAGCCAAACCATCCCATCATGATCCCACAGTATACACACAATCCTCTTCGTCCATCTCTATATAATATCCGTAATCGTGGTTTGCCAGTCCGAACCCCTCGCGTCGGTAATAATTTCCGCGCGTTCGCTTTTCTATTATTACGAAAAATAATCGTTCGTGACGTTCCCATATATAGACCCGTCATCGCCGTTTTTATTAAACGAGCCGGTCGTTTTCTCCGTCGTCGCGTTTTCTCCTCCTCAAATAATAACTGCGGCACGTGCTTGGAAAAAAGCCGCGCGTTCAATATATAGGGTGATTTTTTTAAGTGTGCTCTGCCCATTTTTGCGGATAAATATAATGTAAACAGTTGAAGATGTGATTTTCGAATATTCGTGGATTTTTCATAACAGAATATCGTATTCTGCGGCGGTACCACAAATTTGGTTTTTAAAAACGAGAACCCGCACGATATAATAAATATGCTTTAATCGGTCACGGGTTCGATAAAGTTGAAAGAATGCCCGAGTATACTCGACTTTAGTTGACTAACTGTTCATAAATACATTTTTGTACGGCGCACCTATTTGTTAATCGTATACTCGTTTTCAATGCGTTTAACGGATCCTCGGTATTCAAAATGGAATAACTCGGAGACATTTCGTTCTGACTTCGGACGATTACAAAAATATGCGCTGGAAAAATTCACCGGCCGACTCGTCCGAGATTTCGGCGCGAGATTTTCGAAAACATAATATAATAACCGTACAATAAATCGAAAATTATTAATCCCGACGCAGAAACGGTAACGGATAGGAAATCAACGGATACGACAAACATTATAATAACCGCGTTCCGAGCGCAATATATAAATAATTACACGGGACGTCCGGTCGGGGAAATGACGGGTAGGGGTACTGTGCGAACACGTCGACCGGTACTCCGGCCGATAATACGATATTAATTACAATTCATCGGACTCGTTTAACTCGAACTCTATTAGCCCGGAATCGTTGATACCTCGAAATTTGTCCACGGTCCCGAGTAGAATTTCCTACGTAAACAACGTGAATACAAAAACCGGACATAATTCGCACGGTGGGTGGGACACAGTGAAACGGTTTTGGATGACAAGCCGGAAAGACAGTCGGGAATGTATATCCGTACACAAAGATTATAATCATTGCAATGAAACGACGATTTTGAGCGGAGTTGGGTTGTACGTGTTTGGGAAATTCGAAAACAATATTTAGGTACGTAAATTTCGTAAATTTTCCCTGCGGATTTTCCCCCATTTATTATGAAAATCCCTGAAAAACTGACGTTTCTAAAGTACCGCCTCGGGAACCTATCGGCAAAGACGCTTGGTAATCTCTAGCGAAATTTCTGGTGGAAATTGTCGTTCAGAGAAAATATAATAAATAAAATCATTGTAATACCGACACATACATTTCTATACCACCAATACATTCCTCGTGACTCCGCTCAGAATATAAAATCGCTTTTTACTCGGAATATTTCGTGTACGACTCGAGGTTCTGATTTTATTTTAGGATCAATGATTCGCGGGTTATTCCCATACGCATGCACAGTTACTATCGAGGGTAAAGTTCATTAACGTCACGGTTACCGATACAGTTCAAACAATCGGTTTACCCCTCGATTTTCGATTTATATCCGACGTATTTTCGGTAAATTTAAAACGGCGTGTTTAGCATGCGCACCATAAATACACCTCATACACATCACATTCACACATGGTCTACGTATACTATATAGAATTTTGATTTTAGGTTCAAATAGATTCTAAGCAATTCGGACGTTTAATTCTATTAAGATATACGTATACTGTGGTACAGGTAATACGTTAAAAAAATCAAAAGTCGACGACAATAATATGTACGTTTATATTGTGGTGTGGATATAATATACAATGGGTATAATACGAGTAAACGTTTGAAATTATAATGCGTATTGTGTATAGGTGGGTAAATAATATTATTGACCGATTCGAAAGTATATTCCATAACGACGGCTAATTTATCATCGTCGCCCGTCATACGAAAGGTGACTAAATTATTTGAAAATTTGTTTTTTTTTTTTAATTTATATTTTATTCAATTTGGATTTCAACCGAGAACCAGATTTTGAGTGGCTCCTAAACCGTTTGTGGTATCAAACTTGGATAGTTTTTTGAACCTGACGTAAAGGAATGAAATACGGCCTTTTTCAAACACGGTTTTTTTTTTTTTTTTAAATATTTAATTTTTTAAACTCGATTCGCCATTCTAAAACCATACAACTAAAAATTGCATAATTATCATCTGGATGCGATAAAATATCCACCATGTACACAAAAACTTAAACGGCAATACGGGTATTATAATACTGGTCCCTTTCTTAATCGGACATGACGTCTGTTTTTTTCTTCCCATTTTCTATACGAGTCTAGTTTTTATATTTTATAAACGGACACTGAATTGCTAAAAAAGTGAAAACCGACCAACACGTCTATTATAATAATATGTGTACCACCCAGTACTTACATAGTTGTCAGAGTGGAAAAAACTTCGAAAGAGGACTATATATAACGAAAGTCGAAGGGGGCGTTGCCGAGAACTAACTCAACTTTACCAAACTCTCGGGAAACTCTTTTTTTTTCACATATGAAAGACTTCGAAAATGTTTTTATCTCGCAAACATTTTTCGTAAAAACGTGTCACTTATTATATATGGTATTCAAAATAAACTTTACCCTTCGCCCTCAAATGTAATGTTACGTGCGCGTACGCATATAACCGAATAGATACAAAAATGTATTTACTTTCAATAAAACTAATGTTTGGGTTTGATTAAAATATCATCGAGAATGTCTTAGTGACCGTGACTGGATATCGTCCCACCGGAACTCGAAAGCCTAAACGCCTAACGGGGACTGACTTATTCGCCCTGGACACAAAGGGGGGACTCTGCCCCTCACCATTTTCACCGCTGTGAATCACATCTCCAGAGAGCGGCGTATAAAATTGTTTATACGTTAAAAGCGATTTAACGAACGGACGTTCGATTGTCGCAAATGCGCGTATATTGTTGCGGGAATAACGGGAACGATTTATAAAACTTGTAGCGCGTGAATAACCGATCGCGAAGTCAATAATCAAATTACAAATATAAATAGCGGATAGCAAAACGTCATTGCCGGTTCGGTTGTCCGTGGCAAATAGTCGAAATAATTGAAACGTTTACTAAACGGCAAAAGCGCCGCCGTCGCCGCCGCCGCCGCCACGCTCGTGCGAATATCCCTTTGCCCACCCCTCCATTATTCCACTCCCGCCCGTCCCTTTGGTATACGCACGTACGTATAATTTTCAAACGCGAATAATGTAATATCATAAGCGGCGCAACAGTTGCACGGCCACGTTCGCATTTTCGTCCGTATACAGGGCGTGTACAATCCTCGACGACAAGAATGTATTCATTTTTTTTGTTTTCCGCAATTTATACGACACAAGCGGCTCTGAAACCGTGGCATTGCCGTGGTTTTCGGGAGTGGTACCGCTGACGGCTTTTTGATTTTCGAACAGCAACCGATATTATACTCGTATTGTAAATCCCATAAACACGCGAAGTTTCAGTTGAAATACATTTCGATGTTGAAGTTTTCGATTCCTTCCGATCCGAATGTACGACGAGATATTCTACTTTAAGTTTTGGGTAGAATGAGGAGGAGCGTCAGCATTTGTGTTTGGGCGCGGCGTGCGGATTTCAATTAGTGCTCCTGCACTACTGGGGCACAGGCCAACACAACCATAACTTAAAAATGAAATATCTCGTCAACGGGTCGACGGGAATTGAATATTTCAACATCAACGCGTATTAAAACCAATTCATAATATAATATACGAAAATCAAAAGTGAGTAGAGTCGGTTTTATCCCGCCACCCCCCTCCCCTCAGAAAAAAAAACCGGAACGTAACATCTTAGAACTGCCTGTTTTTCAAATGACAAATTCGGAAAAAAATTAATTAACGTTCCGAGATAATTATCGTCTTATCAAGGATTGATCATCCCGTATATATATATATATATGCACATATAATACATGAAATCTACGGTTTTTTTATTTTTGTTTGTGTAAACTTTATTTTGCTGCGCTACGCGTTCTTTCGCGTGGTAAATATTTATACGATAGAATTGTCCGTAACAATTTCGAAATTACTTATTCATATATATGAGAGGCGAACAGAACCGTTTTATTATTTATGGCGGACGAATGTACGTATGTGTTCGCGGTTAATTCGTAAAATTCCGTGCACGTGTGCAATCACGGTAATACATTTTTGACGACGCCCTCGTCGAATCATTACTACGATGACCGAACACAGTCGTATAATATTTTCGAGCGCCACGTGCGTCCGCGAGTGGGTGTGGGGAGGGGAGGAGTGGAACGGACGAAAATTGAATGTTATCCGAACGTGGCGAAAATTACCTACGGCGGACGAGACTCTGAGAATAATTGAATTACGCCGCCAGACCGCCACATCTTTTAATCGCAGCCTCCATTCGCGATCCTTTTGCCGGTCCATTATTACAATTAAATCAATTTTTACGAATATTCGCATTATATGTAATTGTTAATTTGTTGTGTGTCCACAGAAAACCTTTTGGGCCATGTATCAGACATGGTAGAATTGATCAATGGCGAAATGCCGATATTGAGCTCGTCCGGCGGAAGTGGATCTACTACGGCTGACTTTGTTCGAGTCGGAATCGACTGCACGCTCAGCCCGTTGAAGCCGGCCGCCGCGGCCACCGCCACGACCGGTAGCGGCCACCACCATCTACAGCTGCACAAGAAAGGAGGACCGGGAGGTTCCGAGCTATCGGCTGCGGCGACCATCAAACGGGTGGTGTGCAGCCCGGACTTGCCGGTGTTCACCATAACGCCGGTAGTCGAAGAGGCAGCCGTGACCATCGAGTCGGCCAAAACCGCTGCGGCGGTGGCCGCGGCGACTGCAGCGGCTACAGCGTCGCTGCCGGCCGCGCCGCTGTTGCAGACCGATACGCTGGCCGCCGCGGACAAATCGCTCCAATGCAACGTGTGTCACAAGGTGTTTATGCAGAAAAACGCTTTTCAAAATCACTTGCGGTCTCACGTAAAGGACGCCGCGTCGGACGGCCCGTTCCAATGCAACTACTGCAGTAAATCGTTCACGGTGCCGGCTCGGCTGACCCGGCACTACCGCACGCACACCGGCGAGAAACCGTACAAGTGCGAGTACTGCGACAAACCGTTCTCGGTCAAAGAGAATCTGAGCGTACATCGACGCATCCACACCAAGGAACGGCCGTACAAATGTGACGTGTGCGATCGGGCGTTCGAGCACAGTGGCAAGCTGCACCGGCACATGCGCATACACACGGGCGAACGGCCGCACAAGTGCTCGTTCTGTGACAAGACTTTCATCCAGAGCGGTCAGCTGGTCATCCACATACGGACCCACACGGGCGAAAAGCCGTACGTGTGCAAGACGTGCGACAAGGGGTTCACGTGTTCCAAACAGCTAAAGGTGCACACCCGGACGCACACGGGCGAGAAACCGTACTCGTGCGACATTTGCGGCAAGTCGTTCGGTTATAACCACGTGCTCAAACTGCATCAAGTGTCCCACTACGGTGAGAAGGTGTACAAGTGCACCATATGCAATGGGACGTTCACTTCGAAAAAGACGATGGAGAGTCACATAAAGAGCCATTCGGAAAATGGCAGTGGTGGAGCGGCTGCCACGACCGGTGGATTGGCCACGAGCCCCGTGCCTACGGCGGCCGGGGTTGTGTCCACGGCCGATGCATTGGTCGTCGTGGTGCCCAACAAGTCGATCAATAAAGATATAGGCACCGCTGTGTCCGAGGGCGAGTCTTCGTCGGGTTGCGGTAGCGACAAGGAGAACAATAAGTCTATCATCTCGTCAGGTTCGTCCGCCGTTTTAATGCAATTGTCGGATGACGAGCCCAAATGCATTAACCTAGTGCCGCAGTCAGGGTCTACAGTCATCGGAGGAGACGTCGGCAAGTCGGACGACGACGAAGACGATGACGAAGACGACGAAGATGATGACGATGATGACGACGTTGACGGTGAAATGGTTATGGGCAACACGGATGTGAACAAAGAATTAAACAAGCTCTGTAAATACCTGTATCCGATGTTGCCCGCGGCTAACCGCAAACGCAGAGAATACGACGACGACGATTATGACGATGACGAATACAACTGCGATCAACCGCCCAGCCCGGCCAGCAGCTCTTCGGGCTCGTTGACCCTAATCATGGACGAGTCTTCGCAGTCGTCAACGCGTCGGCTACATCAGCAACAACAACAAATGCACCATCAACACCAAACGCAACAACAACTGCACCAGCAACAACAACTGCACCAGCAACAACAAATGCAGCAACAACAACAACAAATGCAGCAACAGCAAATGCAGCAACAGCAAATGCAGCAACAACAAATGCAGCAGCAACAACAGCAATTGCAGCAGCAGCAACAACATCAATTGCAGCAGCAGCAACACCAGCAATTGCAGCAGCAATTGCAGGAGCAACAAAAATTGCAAGAGCAACAGAAAATGCTGGAGCAACAAAAACTGCTGGAGCAACAGAAGCTGCTGGAGCAACAAAAACTGCTGGAACAACAACAACAACTGCAGCAGCAACAACAACTGCAGCAGCAACAACAATTGCAGCAGCAACAACAATTGCAGCAGCAACAACAATTGCAGCACCAACAACAATTGCAGCAGCAACAACAACTGCAGCAACAACAATTGCGGCAGCAACAACAGCAGCAGCAAAACCAAAAACAGCAGCAGCAGCAACAACAACAACGGCAGCAGCAGCTGCAACAACAGCAGTTGCAACAACAACAAGAGCAGCAGCAAAGGCAACAACAACAACAACAAAGGCAACAACAACAACAGCAGCAGCAAAGGCAACAACAACAACAACAACAACAACAACAGCAATCGTTTCATACCATGCAGACAGCGACACAACAGCAACATCAGCAAGTTGACTATGTCATGTTGATGTCGTCGTCCAACGAGGAACGGGTCACGTCGCCTAACCTGTATGCCTCAGAGGTGCCACTTGCCAGGTCATTGCCTGTAATTTCGGCATTGCCGTCACTGCCAACCGTGTGTTCGTCACCACCGCCGTCGCCGACGAAAAACGGCAGGGAACACCTGAGTTTGCCACCTCGTAAACGATCGAAAATGATTCTAAAATCGATGGAGAGCACCGCCAAAAAAGAGGCACAATGCAGCAGATACAGTTCGGTCATACAATACGCTAACAAAGCCTCAATTTAAAAAAAATAATAATAAAAAATTACGATTATGACATAACAATATCGTGATTTTTTTGATCGTCATTGGTTTTAAATACTAGTATTTACATCGATCAATGATGTTCTCGTGTTAAAGTAATATATTAATTTAATTATCATTTTGTATAAAAATAATATACGTACATATTATTATTACGGGAGAAGGGGAGGTATTATTCGAAAATGCCTCAAAAATTATTCTTTTTTGCAACGTACATCTTTATAATATATCTTTATTTGCCCAACTGATAAATAGTCAAATATAATATTATTTACTTATTATATTTTTTACTATACTTATTATAGATACGTCATATTTTAGTGAAACATTTTTTTTTTTTTTTAGTATCTGTGATATGATAATGCATTATTTACCAAAATATTATTAGGTGAACCACCAGAGGGAAGGAATGGGGGCAGAGGAAAAGTCACCTGGAGGGTTCTTGTCATAATAATTATTGCTATTAAAACAATTTTAAATAAAACCAGGATTTTATATTATTATTTTATACACGTTTTTGAACTAACTATTATTATTTATTTATTCTGTAACGATATATGAATACCTTTCGAAAGATACCCCTCGGACGTCCTCCCTCCTGGAGGGTTCGTTTCGTATAATTTTAACCTACTTCAAAAGAAAAATTTAATACAAAAAAATGAGGTTATTTACGATTTTATTTTTAGTTTACGTGAAAAGAGCTATTGTGCATTTTTTTTCTAATACAATTGTAGTTTATTTTATAATAACATATTATATATTTTATAGTGATGAAATCATACGGGTAGTAGTTAATTATTATTATTATTATTATTATTATTATTATTATTATTATTACAATTCTCTCGCCAGAGGAACAAAAAGTCTGTTAAGCAAGGTTTTTGCTAAAAAAAAAAAAAATAATAATAATAAAAAAAAAAAATAAATAAATAATAATTTTTATCATTATTATAAATTAATATTTATACACTATTTAAAATAATATTGAAATTAAGTCGTGTTAGTTCCATTGTTTTATTTATTATTTTTATCTTAATATTATTATTATTATTATTATTTTTTTTTTTTTTTTTTTTACTAGGTGCATAGGACTATAAGTACATAACTATAAGAAAAAATACAAAACGTAAAATCATCTACCTCATTGTATGCCTTATATTATTATATTAATTATCTATAAATAGATTTAAAAAAAAAAGTACAAATCGTATATCCTAAAGTGACGAAACTCACTATGAGGACCAATTATTTATTATATTTAATATTTTAATTGTCTATAACTAATAACATATGTATTGTGTATATTATTTTGTAATATCTTGTGCGTGTGTGCGTGTGTGTGTGTGTGCGCGCGCTCGCATGCGTACGTTTCTTTGGCCGTGTGTAAATGTGTGTGTTTGTGTGTGTGTATATATATTCATAAATAATATTAACTGACATACATACACACACACATACATACACATACTCACAAACACACTAGCACTCGTCGCACACCACGTCATTTGTTTTGCCGTACGCGGCGTAGGTACTCTCGATTTTTCTTAACTCAAACTCGAATTTTTCGATTTTAAATTAATACTAAACTTTTGTACGTTTTTCTATTACTTTTGAGCTACGCTCTGCTGTGTTAAAAATAATATTAATAACCTAATAAATATTTTAATAATGTTATCGCAAACGAATCTGTTTTACGAAATATCAGCGTCAATCAACAATATAGGTACTTATTGTGCACGATGATGAATATCGTACGAAATTATTCATTTTTTTTTTAATAAAACGTAATATTGTATGTAAATATCCATTCGACTGTCTTCGTTTCCATATTATATGCGTCTGCGTAATATGTTGCGTAAACGTAATAATATACCTAATAATATTATAGTGGACGTACTGATTTTGGATCTCTATTAAATAACATCTCTGTAAAATCCACAATATTATAACCATAGGAATGCATAAATTAATAATATTAATCTACAGAGATCATAATTTATTTATTATTATAATATTATGTTTGCGATTTTTTTTTTTTTTTTAATGTTCCTACGACAAAATCGTTGTTAATAATTAGTCGGTAGGCTTGATGTGAACTACCTCTCATATTATACGCTATACTCAGTGACGTAGCCGGGATTTCTCAATTGGGGGGAAAAAAAAAAAACAAAACAAAACCAAAAGTACACGTTTATAATTTTCTCAATTACATTAAAAAAAAATATATATATTTTACACTATGTTTACTTATATTAATGAATGAAATACGAAAATTAACCATCGCATTAAAAAGTGGGTAACATACAACCACGAAAAGATAATTATAACAATTATGATAGCAATAATACGGCCAATGTGGGGCGGCATGGCTCCCGTGTTTCCCTCCCTGACTACGTCATTGACTATGTTATTGTGATATTATTACGCGTAAAAATACAGAACTGCAATAATATTATCCTTATCATTGATTTATGTCGACCGATCACAAACTATAAACAGACATTCACTACCCGCGTAGAAACATCAAGTTTTATAGTACATAACCGTTTAATAAAAGTGAGTGAGGGGTGGGAAAGAACGGGTAAAAACCGCTGTAATTTTGAACACGATAATATTTTATATATCTAAATTAATTGTAAACGTTATTATAGAATATTATATTATATTATTATGATTTAAACATTTATATATTAGCTTATATATATTTTGAAAGACATTATATTTATTAATAATAATTAATTGACTTTTTCGATAAATAATTTAGTCTGTTTTTTTTTATTATTATTATTATTGTATGTTATAAATGTGTAATTTATTTTATTTTTTTTTCGCATTTATTTAACTTTATATTATATTATTAATATATTATATAATACGGGTAAAACTTGTTCAACTGATGGTGCAAATATAATATAATATACTTATAGTGAACATAAACGTTATAACCTCGTACGGAGTATGATATTATATCAAGTGCTTTTTATTTCCATTGATTTTCGTTTGATTTTTGTTTTTTTTTTTTTTTGAAAAAACAAAAATCATTATCATTATTATTATTATAGGTACATTATTATTATTATTATTATTATTATTTCTAGTATTAAGTAGTTAATGCAAGATTCTTTAACATTGTTGTTTGAAACTACTGAAATCACGTCGTTTATTATATGCGTGTGTTCAAAATTGTTTTGAAACTATATTATATTATATTAATTTGTTGTTATATTATCATTATCGGTGTTTTCAAATCGTTTTCGACACACATTATATAATACACGGTTTCGGGCGTGATTATGACAATGTCAATTTGTTTCCACCCCTATTTGGAATATTATAATAATAGTACCTAGACGTATGAATTTATATACCTACTTAGGCTAAATGTTTTGTCTTTAGAAATAGGTACTCAATTTTTAGTGTCAATAGTTTATTCATCATTATTATTATTATTATTATTATTTTTATTTTTATTTTTATTTATTGTAATTTTCGTTTGTTTTTAAATGTTTGAAGTAAATATTGTATTTTACATTATGCAGATTTTATTCGAAAATAAATATCAAATACTACCTCATTAATATATAAAAAAAAAATAAACAAAGTGTATTTTTTCATTTTTATTTATTTATTACTCTGTTGCCCGGCATTGAAGTCGTAGAGATGAGGATAGTCCAGACTGCATACAATAGTGATCCAACAAATATCCAACCTCTGTTTATGCACGTATCCGTAAGCTGTCCTCAAAACTAAGTAATTATATCATCCATCTTCTCATCTCTACATACACTAAATCTCGAACAAAATAAAAATATAATATGTTTAATAAATACTACTGCAATAGTATTAATAATTGTTAAAATTGTTTTTTTTTCCAATAAGTATACTAAATACCACTAAAAACAAAATAAAATAGTTGGAAATGTTGAACACAAGGATGGGTTTCACAATTTGCCCCCCCCCCCTTTTTTGACAAATTAAATAGTCCATTCTATTCTAAAAAAATCAATTTTTGTTAAACAAAATAATCTTTGTTCAAAAATGTTCGTTTTAAAAATATTTTGCATTTAAATAAAATAATAATAAAAAAAATTGTTCGATTTAAATACCTATTTATAATATATATTTATTTTTATAAAAAATGTCCCCATTTTGTATATAGACAAAAATCTATAATTCAACACTGCCGCCTACTGTGTTGCAGACGAAATGAAATTATTTATGGGTCCTTAGAATATTGTTTGCTCCTTCCAAGAGACCTTGATAGATTTATTAGGCGGGGTGAAACGCTTGGCCTGGCACACGAAATTATTGAATGTCGTTCTATGTCCTTCACAAGAAATCGGTCTTCTATAGTTTTCACCTACGCCTTGAATGAAAGTGAACTGTCAGTTTACTGTATGCGTTACTTAGCTAGACTTCTTATTCGTACCCTCTATCGCCACGTGTACAAATTAATATCATTACAAAGCCTATAGATTTCTGGAATTCATTAAAAGAATTGCAAGTTAATTTAAGTTAGCTATAATACACTTAAATCGCTTTATTGTGCTCTCAACAGGCAAATTCTTGAATACAGTTCAATAGTTTGGGATCTTCGTTGTACGAATTCTGGCCCTCAACTAAAATAGATATCCAAAGGAAGTTTCTCAACTATGCAAGTTTCACTTTACAAATTCCCTGCTTTTCTAGTGATTATTTTCCCGTCCTCACACCTCACTATATTCAAATTATCTTCTTTAGCCAAACGTTACAACGCGTCATTTCTCTCATAACATTTCCTTCCGTGTCGTAAATATTTACCGTTTTTTCTAAAGTTTTCCTGCCGGTTTTCACAAATATGTTTCAAAAACATCTTGGAAAAAAAAACGGACACACTAAGCACATTAGTGGACCAATGTTATAGATAAGAAATAGAGAAAGTAGAGCGGCAATTTCATGTATATCTACACGCATTGAATAAACATCGCAGAAGAAAAACGATTCTAAGCGAACTTGGTTATTAATAGTGTCGCCTTGTCAACAATACACAAGCCATATTATGATAAAATAATTTTTCCTAAATATTATGAAAACCACTTGAAAAGTCAGAAAATGACTTCCCTAAATAACCATAGGGACAAAACTTCTATTCAGAAAATAAGCTACACATGACACATCTGTCAAGTTTTCAAGTCTCTACAAAAATGTGTAACTGAATTACAAAAGGAAAAAGAAACAAATGTAAAAATAATAATAAACATTAATAAAAATTATTTTCGTTCATTTTGCAACACAAATATAAAGAAGTAATATATAATATTGAAACGATAATTGTTCGATTTCTTGATTCATTAATATTATCCCTTAAAGAACGATTTTCAGAAAAGTACTTACATCTATTCTAACTTGGCTATAACTTGCATAACGTTATTAGATTACTCGTCTATTTTTTTGTATAAGTCAACAGGAGTAGATATATATTTGGGTGATAGTAACTTTCGACTCGAGATATGGCAGGTGAAACTCAACTATGGGTGTGCATATGTAACTTCAGACACGAAAAAATAATAAACCAGCACGTAAGTCCCGACACAAATAAAATACAACTATAATATCTGAATTTCTGCACAAATAACAATTATAACAAATTTTCTTCCCACTGTGTTCAGACATGGGACTGACAACTGAGTTGATGTGGTTAAATTTTTTTTGGTTTTGCGTTTTTTATGTTTTGTTAAAATAGTATTGTTCAAAAAATAGTTCAATTTTCAATTGACAAATTGTATGTTTAAATTGTTGATCGTTTCGGAAGAGATGCGAGACGATTCCAATTTGTTTTTAAGAATCAATAAAGTTAACTTTACTTTTACCTATATACCTATACTTGTAAGTTGTAAGTTAATAAAATTTACATACGAGTATAATAAAAAAAGGCTGTTGTTTTAAAATAGTAAAAATATAATATTTCTCCTTAAATCCTAACATTGCCCCCCCCTTCTTAGAAAAATGTTTTCGGTAGCCTATGATATTGTCATGTACAGCTGAATTTAACCATGTTCTAAGAGGACTTTAATCGTCTCATGCATGATATTGTGGAAAAAATGATCTATCAGTCTTCTTACGTTGGTTTCATTTACAAGCTATACATTCACCCCAGATTGAAGCTATGACCGGTCTTATGGTCACATCACGTCCCAGATCAACTCATACTGCTATTTCGACAAATCGGCTTGAATTTAAACATATTTCTTTTTAAGACTTTTGAGTTTTACGTTATTCTGATTTAAAACGTCATACAACTTTTACATTTAACTTTATTTAGAATTATAACGTTATTATTATTTTTCGTTTATTGTTATTGATAATTTAAACTTCATTCTAATAAATTGTATGTTTATCTTTATTGATAATAGTTATCTAAACATTATTCAAATTGTGAAATTTTCATATTTAACATTAGGTATTAGAAATTAAAACACTATAATGTTACCATGGACGGATAAAATCGCCATGGCAGTGATAGTAAAATTAACATAGATAAACATAAGAAATTTTTAGTTTGTAACTCTCGTTTAAATAGGTACCTAAAATACCTATATGATAATTAATAAACATACTGTAAATATTATATACTAAAATGTACTACTCAAAAGACCCGTATTAGGTCACTGGGGTAGGTACTATACAATCCTTCTAATGGTAAGTCGTCATGGAAACTAAATACCTAAATAAATATAATAAACATACGTCATACGCAACAAACAAATTTTATTTGCAAGTTTCATTAATATCACTGTTATATTATTTTAATATAAAAAGTAATATTCAAGATAGGTAGGTATTTAAAAATAATTGACAGACATAATTCGCACCACGAGTGAGCTACTATTGTACGTGAGAAGTTGGGAAGGTTATTAATTATATAGAAGAAAATTTAATTTATAGGTACCTATATCTGTACATAACGATTAATCATTTCTAACAAAACACGATTCTGATCGGAACTCGATCAATACTTGTATTATTGCTTTTCCACAACAAAAACGATTGTTTAAAAAAGATTAAGATTAAAATTATAAGACTTAGTAATAACAAAAGTTAAATAAAAACGGTTATCAATACAACCTTATAGTTTTTAATCTTTTAATTTCCAAAATAACCAGCTTTTAGCAAAAAATTATCTTTCTAAAGTATCAACTATAGAACCAAATTGCAACAAAAATGGTTTCCTGTCACGTTTTGATTGGATATTACATCCTTTTAAAACGCGTATAATTGAATTCCGCTCAGAATCGTTTTTCGTTAGCAATGATTAATCGTTGTGAACAGATATATAAATTAAATTCCCCTCAATATCCTACCTTTCCAACTTCTCACCCACAAAAATGTCCCGCCCATAATGTGAATTATGTCAGTACTTTTTGGGGGTTGTTCTGTACCTTTATAAATAAATAAATATAAGATACCTAATTTTACAGCTAGATTAAGTTTCAGATGTTGGTTATGATAAATAAAATTCCACAGAACAAATTGACACAAAACTCATCAAATTCTATTCTATTTCTTTTAGTAGAAGAAAATGTATCATTATTTCACTTAAAGAAATAATTATACAGGATTCACTAAATCAGATTAAAGGTTGAACATTGAAATCAAACATTATTAGAAATTGACAACAATTGATTTAGATGATATCAATGAATTTGACTCATGCTGATCTAGAAAAATTATAGTTTTAAGTTATAATAAGTAATTTGTTTGGTTTGGATTAAAAATTAATTTAATAATTTACATACAAAATATTGAAGATGAAAAGTGAACATTTTTCTTAGATTGCCTTACAAAATACTTGTGCTTAATCTGGTCCTATTCTTAATGGATAATAATACCTAAAAACATATTGTTTTAAAATCAATAAAAATTTGTAATATATTTTCTGTTTTTATAATTTACTGCAGTCCTATCAATATAAATATTTTCATGATCTTTTTTTAGTTAAATAAAACCTATTCGTTTCAGGTTATACTTTTACTTATGGCTATAGGTTATAAAATAAAAAACAAAAAGATATGATGTCACTTGTTAAGTCATTCCAAACATTCTTAGTGCTTAAACAATTTAAACTGTTTATTATTAGATATAGTATCTAAAATATTTAGTTAAAAATAGTTGTATTTGTAAAAAAAATTAATATTAATAACACAAGCTCATGGTTAGAAACTAAATAAAGTTGGTAATATGAACAATAGTAGGGTTGGTTTAGGTTAGATATGAATGGTATGAATAATAATAACATAATAACACAGAAATAGTAATGATAGTATTAGTATTTAGTATTGATCTAAATCAATTTGAATTTTAAAAGACTAATCTAAGGTAAGTGTTGGTAACTAAGGGTAATTAGTTTTTAACATTTAATTTTGTAATAAAAGGATTATGTGCAGTCCTTCAATACTGCTATTGCATTTCAATATTAGTTATACAGTTAATTAATTATTATTATTATTATTTATTATTTATTTTTTGCCATTTATATGGAAAAAAAAAAAAACAAAACAGGTACATGAAATGAGCAATTAATGACTAGGTATTAACAATATATGTACACAGTGTATTTAAAATAGGCATCTTATACTAATGTAAACAGATTTACATTTTGTTTATAAAAATTAATTTATTAACTATTACTAATGTTCAGAAAGTTTAATATTATTTATTTGAATATGAATAGAAAAAATAATGAGAATTATAATTGATGTAAAAATGTCAATTGTTCATGTAGTAATCCTGGTTTTATCCATGACATAAAAATAAATTCTGGCTTTCTAATGGCTACTACCAAAATATTGGCTTCGGAAACCTAAATACAGAACAATTATTTATTTATTCCATCCGAGTAAACTTGCAATATATGTCCTGAGAATTAAACTACACCCAAATACCTCTGTTGTTGGTCAATCAGCAATTATAGAACTAAAATTAGAATAACACAAATTTAAAATGAAAATAAATATAATTTATATAGTTAACAGGAATGTTACCTTTAAAATATCTTAATAACACCATTTGGAGTGCAAGATTTTAGACCAATTACATCACCAAAAACCATATAATAGGAAAACTGGCTTCATACCTCTGCTTTGGCTCTTGTATATCGTGCTCTGGTTGACAGAACTAGGAGTACTCACTGTAAAAAGTAGACAGAATTAAATAAAACAATGCGCATTATTATATTGGAGATATTAAAAAACATTTAATTCCAAAGGTTATTAGTGCTTTTAAATATTGCACTAAGAACAGGATGTAATACTAGTTTTATTAACAGTAATCTGTTTGTTATGAATTTAACTATAATGATAAAATTATAACTATAAGAGAACAAATAAAACAAAAAATATTGAACCCATGAAAAACTCCTGAGTATGCCTCCAGAGCCAACCCATTCAAGACACTATTAAAGACTTAATGAGTACAATTCAAATGCTACGTGCCAAGTCCACACACAAATAATGCTCCGCTATTTTTCCATATAGAAACTTAATTTTTATTTATGAAATTAATTCAAATGTTAAGATTGAGGTGGTTGAAGCAGATTCTGAATAACTGAATGCTATATAATTGGAGGAACAGGCATTACCACAAATAGCAGGTTACTTATATTATGCAAGGCTGTAGTGGAAAGTATACACTATATACCTTTTGATTAAGGTTCTATTAAGGTTCTAGTTATAAGTATAATTTATACGGTTAACCAGGTTTTTTTTTTATGACTACAGCACTACTCATTCTACTCTTAATGTAAAAATTATCATTAGTCTAAACAAATTAATTATTCTCTAAACTAGATAGTGAGAGGCATGGTAAGAGCTTGCACGTGGCGTCCCCTGCATCGCGATATAGGACTCCAAACAAGGATAAAATATCGCGAACCAATCTTACCGACACCGGTGCTAGAATGCCTAGACATTCAAACTCGAAAAGGTTCTTTTTACGGCCACCTCCGCCAGCAATTAATGTGATAACACAGAATGTCGAAGATTTTTCCGTGACTAAAGGTGAGCTTCTTGCTTCCCTTTGTGAGTCACAGAGGTGCGACATACTATGTGTCCAAGAAACGCACCGGGATGAGGCCAGTGTCAGGCCAAAATTACCGGAAATGAATCTAGTCATTGAAATACCACATTCACAATATGGTAGTGCAATATATACTTAACTAGAATTAGTGGTCGAAAGCGCATCCTATAGTCATAGCAGTCAGATCGAGATACTAACTATTGAGGTACGCAAGTGTACAATTACTTCGGTATACAAACCACCAAATATCGCATTTGCCTTTGAAAAACCGGATAACTTCAATAACTGTGATACAAAGATAGTTGTGGGTGATTTCGACAGTTGTCACGTGGGGATCCCAGGAAATAGATCAAAATAAAGAAAACGTGGTATCATGGGCTGCGGCTGAAGGTCTATCTCTAGTTCATGATCCAAAAATTCCCCCATCCTTCAATAATGGTAGGTGGAAGAAAAACTACAACCCAGACCTAACTTTCGTAAGTGATCAAATAGCCCTTCAAGCCATAAAGAACGTATGTAATCCCATACCTAATAACCAACACCGAGGCTTGATATTAAGTGTCACAGAAATCGTAAGATCCCAAAACCGTACCATTCAAAAGACGATTTAATTTTAGGAGAGCTAAGTGGAAAGAATTCAGAGAAATTCTAGATAACGAAATATCTAACTTAGACCTAAAGCCAGAAAACTATGAGAAATTCGTAGAAATAGTCAGGAAAACCTCAAGACTACATATTCCACGGGGATGTAGAGAACAGTATATAAGCGGAATGACGGAAGAAACTTGCAAAATAAATAAGAAATATGGAAAATCATTTACTATAGACCCATTTAGCGAAGAAACTATAACGCTAGGAGAAACTCGGATTAATCATTTATGTAAAGATAGAAATGATAGGTGACATGAACTCATTGAGAATACAGACATGACCAAAATCAGCAAAAAAGCATGGCGACTCATCAAGAAGCTAAATGGGGACCCGGTTACACACACCAACGATATAAATGTAACAGCTACTCTTAAATGGTAAACCAACAGCAAAAATCAAAAGAGGAAAACTCACTAGAAGCCGAGACACTGAGCAAAATAATTTTCAACTTGACTTTACTCCTGATGAACTAAATGAGAGCCTGAAGGAGATGAAAAACAGAAAGGCACCCAGGGTGGACAAAATAATGACAGAACAAATAAAAGAATTCAGCATAAAATCTAAACAATGGTTACTAACTTTCCTAAACTCATGCTGTGACAAGGTCTTAGTACCCAAAATGTAGAGAAAAGCAAAAATAGTGGCACTACCCAAACCAGGTAAAGATTACAAAAACCCAAAAAATTACAGACCGATATCTTTGTTATGTCATACTTTCAAACTGTACGAACGTATGATCATGAATCATATCAAGTGCCAAGTCGAAAGAAAACTTATTCCTGAGCAGGCTGGCTTTAGGCCGGGTAAAAACTGTACAGGACTGGTATTAAACTTGTGCCAATATATAAAGGACGGCTACGAGAATAAAAAAGTAACTGAGGTGGTCTTTGTAGACCTATTTGCAGCGTATGACACAGTGAACCATAATCTTCTACTTAAAAAGATTTACGAATGCACAAATGACTGGCACTTTGTCTGAATAATATCCTCCATGTTACACAACCGACGTTTTTTTTTATGACTACAGCACTAATCATTCTACTCCAAATGTAAAAATTATTATTAGTCTAAACAAATTAATTATTCTTTAAACTAGGTAGTAATGAAAATACTACATTAACTATTACTTATTTTATATTTTAACAGGCGATGAACATGATCGTTGTTTTGTTTGTTGAGGATGTAGAGATGAAGTTGGTGAAGTTATCAATGCCCTTCTGCAATGTGGACACGGGTGGTGTTGTGATCCTTGTAGTGAACAATTGACTAACTGTCCCATCTTCATGATTCAATTCCCTAGAACTTTTAGTATAAATATTATAAATCATAATATGTATTTGGTATAATAATGTTATTCAATGGCTAATATTTAAGTGTGTTTACTACTTGGATATAGTTTAATGGATGTCCAATAATATATTAACAGCCTCGTGGATCCTACAGGCAGTAACTGCATTTATTGCTACCGGGCTTTTAGAGATGCTCCCAATAATTGCTCAAAGTACATTTACTAGTATTGTGACCATGGACAGGGTGCATAGATTGTATCATCTATCTTCCAAGTAGTCCAGATTTGCCAAGTCTGTAATAATAATGAGAAAAATGTCATATAAATATTTATTTGTGAAATGCATAATAATTAAATTTTATAATATGTTTTATTTTTTACAAGTACTTATTCTTTTTTCTAAATAAACAAATAAATATACATTATTCTCTTAGACCATTCATTTTCATTTAAAATTTGTATTATTATTATTATTTATCTACAATTATTATATCTTGGAGTGTAGTAAAGTGCAAATATGAGTATGAATGAAATAAATATACAAAAAGTATTTAAATATAAAAATGTACACAAATATACAATAAAATAAAACATACACTGGAATATTACAATTTTAGTTTGTTTTTTAACTGTTTTTGATTTTAAAAATATCATCACCCAATAAAAATAATTTTATTTATTATTAAATTAATACAGGTAGGTATTTAAAGATACTTTTTTCTTTAATTTTCATTAGTTTTAGACTAAAAAGTCATTACCATATTATATGCCATCCAGTAAACTTGCAATATGCGTCCTGAGAATTAAACTGCACCCAAATAACTCTGTTCTTTGTAAATCAGCAATTGTAGTACTAAAATTAAAATAACACAGGATTGTACCAGAATTGCATGTGGAACAACATGCGCCATTGTACTGTAATTAAAATGTTTCAGCAGCCAAAAACTGAGGGTCAGATATATCACAAATATCTCGAGAATGGGTTTCAGAAAATCAAATATTTTTCGCCTTATGGAATTTTAAAATGTAGTTAACTATTCAAAAATCAAAAGTTGATAGTCGCTTCACCTCCAAAATTAATGATGACAAAAGTTAATGAAAATGTATCATTTGAGAGCTGCTTGTTTCTTATATTTAAAAAATAAAAAATAAGTATAATTTATAAAATTAACAGGAATGTTACCTTTAAAATAGCTTAATAACATATAATATGTATAATGAATTATTCATATTCCATTTCGGCAATTGAATTAAATGTACCATGTTCTTAAATTCTGAAAGTAGAAAGTAGGTATCTTGAAATTTATTTATAATATATTGTTTTCCGCTTTGTCTATGACATCTAGGTAGGTATACATTATGTTTAAATAACAGCCAAATATGTATCTACTATAGCTAGGTAGGTAT